GGATATACTTGTGGGAAAGAGGGATTCTCTCTATCTTGCTCATATCTATAAATTTCTTCCTCCAGAGAACATCGAATCAGTATCATCAGAGTTTGGGGCCTCCCCCATGTAAATAGTTGAATTAACCCCTTAGTTGTGTCACAGAGGTGTCATATAAGTTTTCTCCTACAGCCCTGAGGATGAGGATCGTTTTTCTTTTTTTTTCTTTTTCCAACAGAGGCATAGGCAGCAGCAGCAGCAGCAACAGCTAAGGCATTTTGTAGGGTCGTAGTAACCCATCTGCCCTTAAGAATGTGGCCTCAGTATGCCCCTAGTAACTGCTCTTCCTCCACATGAACAATCACCTAATAAGACTGTGTATTGCACAGGTTATCAATCTTTCCCCTGAGCACTTCATAGAATGAGATTAAACACCTACTTGAGACAAACATCAGTGTTCACAGGGTAAGAGTCATTCTCTTCTGCTTAGTGTCAGTAATTATTTACAGATGAATTGAGACAGACAATTCAATATGAGACACACACGTAGGTCTGGGCTGAGACATGTAACCCACTGCCACTTTGAGGAGGCCCTAGTCCTGTATTCCTGACCCTTAATGACAGTTATTGAAACTTCTGATATAGATCAGTTAAATCTATAACAAAAGGCTTGGAAGAACTCAGTAATGTAGCACAAAGCAGAACATCTCAAGGGGCAAGCTTGAGAGCAGGCAGCAACACAACTCAAATAGCCCACTAGCCAGAAAGTATACACTCCCAAGCAGACAGCAGAGCCAGGTTGTAAGCCAAAGCAAGCAAGAAAGACACTTGTGGTAGGCAGTCATCATCTAGACATCCTGATCACAGTACCAATTACTGTGACCACCCTACAGAGGTAAAATGAATTGCCATTCAAAATTTGGTTTATGAACACACGATGTAAATATATATATATGCCTTACTGTTAAAATGTACAACTGAAACTTACTGGATTTCGTCAACTAAGGACACCATAAAAATTAAAAAAAATTTTTTTTTTAAATTTGGTTTAGCTATTGGAACTGATGATGCCACACACACTAAGATAGTATGGAAATGTATATTGCTCACATAACAAGTCTTTCTAAAGAGAGCGGGACAGGCTTCTCAAGCTGGCCCAAATATGACTTGAAAAAAACAGGGAAAAGAGACTAAAGTGGAATTTTTATGGTAGTTGGAGTGAGTCCAGGCTCACGATTCCTGCACATGGTTTGAAGTTTCCACCAGTCACAAAGAAAGGATTACCTAGGCTTTCTTATTAGTTTTCTCAGATGTGGGTAGAAGGAAAAGAGAGAAGTGTTGGGCTTAAAAGTCTTCAACTGTCGAACATCATTACAGTAAAGTTCGTTAAACATTAAAAAATCAATCATATAATACATAGCTTCATCAGAATAAAATAATATGAAAAAAATGGTCATATGCCCCCCCAAACTAGACAGCATTTATTATTTTTAATAATGAATAATCAAAATTTTCTCATTGAGATCAGGAAGAAAGCAAGGATAACTCTAATAACCACAATTATTCAGCATTATACTGGAGAGTATAACCAGTGCAATAAGACAAGAGAAAGAAATAAACATTTAAATAGTTAGAAAAATGAAAATAAACTATAGTTACTCACATATGACATGATTATGTACATAGAAAATCAAAAGATTCTTCAAAGTATTAGAATTAGTAAGTGAATTTATCAAGGTCACTAGGAAATCAATATAAGAATCAATTGTATTTCTACATACTAGCAAGAAACAATTAGAAAATGAAATTTAAAAGATACCATTTCCAGTAGCATCAAAAAAAAAATTGATACCTAGGAACAAATATAGCCAAAGACATGCAAGATTTATATATAGAAAACTACAAAAGCTTATTGAACATGACTAAAGAAAGCTAAAAGACAGAGGTATCTACAGTCTTCACGAACTGAAAACTTAATATTGTAAGCATGTCAACTATAGATTCAAAGCAATTTCAATCAAATTTCAGCTGCTATTTTATGAGAATTGATAAACCTATTCTAAAATGTCTATGGTAATGAAAAAAGTCTCTAAAATAGTCAAAACAATCTTGAAAAAGAAGAACAAAGTTTTTATAGTTCCAAATATTGAGACTTATTTTAAAGATACAGTAATTAAGAGAGTGTGGTATTGAGAAAACGACTGAAAAATGGGTCAGTGGAACAACATATAGCATCTAGAAACAAACCACATACAGACTCATTTGATTTACAACAGTGATGAGA